TGCTGGTGGTGATGATGGTGGTCGTGGTGATGATGGTGGTGGTGGTGGTGATGATGGTGGTGGTGGTGGTGGTGATGGTGGTGGCGATGGTGGTGGTGGTGGTGGTAATGATGGTGATAGTGGTGGTGATGGTGGTGATGGTGATGAGAGCAGGGAGGACGTGGGGCTGAGGGTATCCGGGGTTGGGTGGTGCTGGGGTGACGTACCGCCAGCCCGGTGGCGTGATAGTGGCGGGTTGGTTATGGTGGGCAGGGGGTGGGGGAGGGGAAGGGGAAGGTCAGGTGGGAAAATCCCCCACGTTCTACTGCTGTGTTTTAAGGAAGGGTTGTGTTAAAAATGGGACAGCCGACACCGGGGTCTACTTCTATGTGGGGGTAGAGCCGCCGCAGTGTGAACAGTCCAGTCGAGTGGGGGGATGGTTCTCCAAAAACCACCTCGCAGAGTCTCCGCACTCCACCCCTTCAACACCATACACACAACGCACAAGGGCCCCCTGCGCCGGCAGACGGATATGTTTTCCACACACTTCGTCCATACACTTCCGCACCCCTAACCGTGCATCATCCTTTCTATTTACACCCAACTACTACCCCTCTCCCCCCCTTTTTGACCTCCGCTCCGAAACCACACCGCGCCACATCAGATCAACGCCTGCATCGGCTCCACGTCCGCCAAGGCCTGTGCCTCCGCGGGGATTACGGAGAACGTGTACTACCCAGATTCGCCGGGGATGGAGGGGTGGGTGGAGGCGGTGGAGAGGGGTTGTCGCGATGCTCAGTTGATGGCCGCAGCTGTGTAAGGGGGTTGAGGGGAGGTGTGGGAGAACGGGTTTGAGGGGTGGTGTGGTGGAGGTGGAGTTGGCTGGTGTCTGTGGTGAAGAGGCGGCAGCTTGGGGTTGGGGCTAGGGCTATTTGGCGGGCCAGGCCACCCGCTCCCCAGCTTCCCAGCTTCAGTTGCCGTACGTGCCTGGGAGGTGATATGGCGGCTGGGCCGTATCAATGGGGGGGGTGGGAAAGTAGGGGAGGGGGATCATGGGGGAATGCCCGTAGCAGGAGATGTTCGACACAGAGGTGACGGTTACACCGGCGACAGAAATACCTGCAGTTCCTGAAACAAGAGGAAATGTGATTTTGGACAGTGATTTGTGTGACTTGGCGTGCGTGGCCTTTTTCTCAGCTGCTGCAGTCGGCTGAGCTACATCTTCATCTTGGGAACACTTCTTTTCGACCTCTCTAGTGTGGGGCAGGGCATAGCTGACCAGACCACCAGAACGAATCGCTTTGCAAAACGTTTTAGACCTGACGTGCTTGGCGCGGCGGAGCAGTATCTTCTTGGCAATACCCGTTGATCAGGCGGTACGGAGGAAGTCCTCCGGGGCACATGCTGCTTTGGATGCGGCGGGCAGGGCAGCAGCGATGGCCTCTGCCTTGCTGAGTGAGGTAGCTACACCCAGAAGTAAAATTCAAAATGTTTCTTGTCCGATCACTTCTAAGAACCAACTCCTTGCTACATCGCGCGAAACCAAAATAAAGCCACTCCTGAAACCACAGCACTTAGGAGTAAAGATTTTAAGTCTGCCTCTACACTAAAACTAAAAGTTGAAGCGCCGCGTGCAAGTAGACCACAAAGTACTACTACGCATAAAGTTTGAGCCCCTGTACCCATCAGTGTTTTGTTTTTTTTGAGCGATATATTACCCACGCGCGAAATAAACCTCCCTCAGGAAGCGAAAACGAGCGGTGGAAGGCACTGGAAGGTGGGGAGTTTGGCAGCACTGTGTTGGGTTTTCAAGGGGGTATTTGCGATCTGTGAGGGCGTATCTCCCCCAGCCGCTTGGGTCAGGATCGATAAGCGACACACCAAAAAGGACAAATGTTATCGCACCCTAAGCTACAAAAACCTTGGCTCCAATTTTAAAAATTGGGACACTGGTAGCCATCCCCAAGGAAGTTCATCACAGCCCGATAATTTTTGGGAACAACCCCATGGCCAGTGTGCCTGGTGGTGAGCCAGGATGGCGGTGTGAACTTCCATTGGGACATATTGACTTCATTGCTATTGTGCCCCTCACGGATCTGGCCTTCATCGTCTCCTCACCCGGGGGTGTAGCAGCTGCTGTCAGGTGGTGGATAGATTACCGGGCCAGGCGAATCAGCAGCGCGCTATTCCCAGTGGTGCTGCAAAACCATCTATGTCTGAGAGCTGGTGACGTCTTCCTGTGTCTGGGAACAACAAGCACCGCAAGGGTGCATTCCCAGGAAGTGGCCATCAGTGGCATCGCTTGAGTTCTTCATTGGCACAGCAACAGCAAACCCCCCGTCATGCCTTCCAAGCCTGCGGATTTGAGCCAATTGTTTTAAATTTGCAGGCAGAAGGGCTGGTTAGAAGTTGGTTAAAAGCCGCGTGCATCCATGGTAGCTCATGTACATGTCAACTGCTGTCGTCGTACCGTAATTGCGGGATTCACACGTACATTTTGTAACCCAACCTATCACGGGGCGGCATGACTAGGTGCAAGCAGGTTGGCTGTTGGAGATGAGGTGACTAGTTGGGTTAGGCTGGCTGGCTAGCTGGCTGCATGGCTAGCTGGCTGGCTGGGTGGCTGCGTAAGGAGATGGGTGGATGGCTAACTGTCTTTGCTGGCATGCTCGCCAGGTTGCTGGCTGGGAGGGTGGCTGCTGGGTGGCTGGATGCGGGGCTGGGTGGGTGGGTGGGTGTGTATTTATTATTGGGGACGCATGCAGCTCGGGGGTGCATGAATGAGTTTGGATGGATGATGATGATGAGGGAAGGGATAAGAGGCACGAGGTGATAGCTGTCATGTGTAGTGAGGTGTAATGGTGATGAGAGGCGAGGGTTCAGAGTGATCGTGACAGCTGCAGGATGAGGGCTAGGAATGGGGTATTAAAGGTGAGCCGGGTGCAGGGTGAGGTGGGGTGGGTGGAAGAGGGGATTAGTGAGAGGTGAGGGGTGCCTGAGGGTTGAGGGAGGAGGGGGGCAGAAGGGTTAGGAGAGGGCAGAAGAGTTTCATACGGGCAAATGGCTTGCGGGATTTGGTGCTTACTTCATATTGGACTTCACACAAGGCAGCACATATGAGTGACAGCATCTTTGAACTACGGATGGGACGGTGTGGATTCTGAGTGAGATGCGAGGTTGTTCAATCCTCTGTGCAGGACGGCTAAGGGTAACATTACTACTAACACAAGGTATTAGTTAGTAGTAGTTGAGTATTATAGAAGCAGAGGCTTTTGGGGGTAGCATAGGCCTCTGGTTAGGGGGCCGTGGGCTACCGGTAATGTTCCAACATGTGCCCGAAACTTTTAACTTGAAATTATGGACCCAGACGACTAAGCCTTTACTTCTTATACCTGCGCGGCATGCCAAGCCAAACTTTCGGAAGCCAATTTGCTGCGGTTTGACTAAAAGCTGGCACCGTGGCTCGCTGCATAGCCGCTCCCGCTCACAACCAAGCCGTCTGGACGTCGGTGCCGGAAGGGTTGCCAGCAGGATAGAAGGGGGAAGCCGTTCGCCCAGCGCTTTGGGCAAAAATATGCCAGGCGAGCAACAATCAAGCCATACCAAGGTCCCCAGTGGAAGGAAAAAAGGATTCCTACGGGGTCCTTGTGGAAGTTCCCTGATCCTGAAAGCCATTTGCCATCCTGCGGCAGAGGGCAGTCTGGCGAAAGACGAAGGGGAGATGTTGCTGTCCTGCAAAAAAAACGCGCTCTCCAGCAATTTCATACACTGATCATAGTATAAGATGGAGTCAGCATTGAGTTAAACAACAAAAATCATCCCTTTGTACATCTTGTCAATGGTCGTTGTGCACGACAGCAGCATTCGGTTCCGCGCATACACACAGTTTGCTTCAGGGTCCTCCAGGCATATCTTAAATTTTAATCCTTCATTAGCATAGCCGGACAGCAACGCCGCCTGGCTTTGTTGGCATATTTAGCCAACAATCTTCTCAGCCTTGGCAGTTTAGGTCAAGTGGACAAAAATGCCGATTGGGCTGTGGACTGTCTTTAATGGGGTACGTTGTTGCTGCTGCTCTTGGCAGTCGCTAACATCACGAGTTGCTCCGGCAGTGATTGTGACTCCTTGGTCATGCCAGGCAATGGTTGCAGTTCCTCGTTTAGCATTGCGGAATATTTGTGATGAAAGTTTGCTGTGCGAGAGAACTATCTTCCCTTTGCGTTTGCGTAAACGGTGAACACTCGCCCGCTCGCTCTATTCGTCCTCGCAGTATATGCCCGCTGCACGGTGGCCCACAGCTCAGCAAGTTGTCCGCGTTGGTGCTTGGGGCGGTGTCGCGGTTGTAGGCGCGCTTTACATGGTGCAGGTGAGAAGCGTTCTCCTTTAAACGAGGTTGGTTTCTGACTTGATGAGACGCGCACATGTTGTTCCCGTCCATGCAGCCGTGGGATTGGCTCCAAACAAACCTCGGCCTGAAGAAGGAGGAGAAGTAGGGTCCTTCACCTATCCCCTACTTTTATACCGTCAGCAAGGACAGCGGAGCTGCCCGAAGCGATCTGCTGCAAAGGATGAAGATATTTGGGAGACCACGTGTGGGATATGTGAAACCGTAGAAATTCTGTGGTAGTGTGTGTATCGTGTCGTTTGTGGAAGGACAAATGTGTTTCGATTACAACCATCGTAAATGTAACCACGTCCCGGTGAAGTTTTTATGATGGACCAATAACCCAGCCACTACTGACCGTCATCGCAGAACACGACCGCAACAAATCACCACCTCGCCATAATTGCTATCCAAGCATAGCCCGGGAGGTCAGTGCATTCGGCTCGTCGCAAACTGTAGCATATCCGTATCGCACACATACACCGGCATCAGCGCACTTCAACCAGGCCCTATCCCGGACACCCAACCCACATGGTTATATAGTCCCGGGCACTGCAGTACTTAGAAAAGGGTGAGGCCCAAGCTGCTATAATCAAACAACGAATCAACCTATACAGGAAAGATAGCCGGAAACTAGCGCGACCCGCTGCTAGTAGTACTGTCAGAACTGGTTCCGCTCGAACTACTGCCATCACTGCTGCTGCTGCCGCTGCTGCTGCTCGACGTGCTGCCACTGCTTGGGCTGCGCCGCCTGCGGCCATTGGTATGATCCTCGCGCCCACCGCGGGCACGTGGGGAATCACGCAGCGCTGTTCTGCGGGCACCGTCTCGGGAACCGCTGCGCCTACGCTCTCTGTCATCGACCTCCGCGTTCCGGCGACCACCCCTTTCCTCCTCCGGCCGGCCCTCACCCCGACGACCGCCAGCCTCAACGCTCCTGCCCTTGTCCCTGTCGTACTCATCCCGGCGTCTACCATCGTACTCCCGGGGACCACCACGGCCACGTCCTCCTCGCTCCTGCACGATGCCGTCCACGGACTTCAGGTAATGGTCCTTGTCGCCCCCGTTCTCATTGCCATCGCCCCGGCGACCGCTGCGCTCCAAATCCCTCTCTCGCTCGGCATCTCGGTCCTGCTCACGTGACCGCTCTCGCTCGCCCCCGTAAGGACGTTCCCGTTCTCCGTCTCGCCCAACCCGGGCCGTGTCACGCTGCCGCTCTCCATCCCTGTCCGCGTTTCCGCCCCTGCTGACATGCCGGCCGTCCTCATCACGTTGGTTGCGCTCCTCCCGCCGGGCACGGCCCAAGTCCTCATGCTCGCGATCCTCGCGTGCGGCAGCTCCACGATCACGATCCCGTCCCAACGGCTCGGTCTGCCTGCCTTTAGGCTCCGCATGACGATTGCGCTCCCCTGACAGGCCTTTGGTGTCACGGCCGTCATACCCGTCGCCATCAGTAGCTGCCACTGCACCACGCCGCGGGTCAGGCTCCTCCTCGCTGCGGCGCGGCTTAACGTTCCGCATATCTGCGCCATCCGCACCGTCGTCCTCATCGTGATGGCGACGAGGGCGTCCCGGCGCCTCTCCTGTTCCCTTAGGGCCCCGCTCGTCATCCTGGCGCCTTTCTCCACGCGCCGTAGCTGCTGCACTCCCGCCGTCACCGCCACGGTTACGACTGCCACCGGCCCCGCCGCGGCCTGGGGACCCAGCTGGAGCTGCCGTCTCACGCGGTCCCTCCTCGATACGTCGCCGCTTGGGTTCCGGTGCCTCTGGCGACGGTGCTTTCCTGTCCTGGCCATATTTGGCCCTGTCATCATCTTTATTTCCGCCTCTGCGATGGCGGGCTCCGTCCGAGCCAGACGAGGAAGATGTCGTATCACTGCCGCTGCTGCCGCTGTCAGAGTCGGAATCGGAATCAGAGCTAGAGCTACTGGATCCTGAGCTGGTGTCCGATGATTCAGAGCCGGAATCTGAGTCACTGCCGCTACTGCTACTCGACGGTGACGTGGAACGACGTCGATGGCTGGGCTTGCCGTCGCGCACTGTCGCAGCCCCACGGCCATCGCGTTGGGGCCGCTCCAGAGGGCCATCACGGGCATCGGCAGAAGCACGGGACGGCTGCGATCCCATGTAGTGCCTACCCCGTCCAAGCTCCCGCTGGTCCCGTGGGCCCATATCGCGTCCGCCCCGCCCACGCTCCTGCTGCTCCCGGTCCCAATCGTATCTCCGTTCATCTATGTAACGGCCTCGCTCACCCACATAGCGGCCGCGCTCCTCAGCATACGGGTCGTACCTGTAGCCAGATGGAGTAAACAGATTTCTTCTGTTGACAAGAGCAAGACCACAAAGTTAACGTGCTATTTCGGAACAACACACATTGGCACGAGGATATGCCGACGAACGCCTACTGCGCCATCTCAAGGGTGACACCCTCTGCCGTGATCACCGCATCGCTGCATGGACTGCCACATCGCATCAGTGCCCTGTCCAATGCGCCATTGCCATAGCAAACAGGTCATGATTGCACTCTGTCCCGTCGTACCTCTCGGGTGCAGCTTCGTATTTGCGATACAGCCGTGCTTCTGGAGACGCGTTGCGTCGACGCTCCTCTTCTGCTAAACGAGCAGCCTCACGCTCCTGCGGGTAGAAATGATGAAGGATGGGAGCTTAAGTGAGAGTTTAGTTCCGAGGCAGGTGAAGGTGGCAGAAGGTGCTTTCGCAAGTCGCACAACTCAATGCCAAGCCGCCATGCGCCAGTGACCGTAGGGACTGGCCCTTAGCGCATGCTGAGCTGACCACAGCAATCCACAGTCTTGCGCATACCATGGCACTGTGCAAGGGCGGTAAGTTGTAAGTCGATAGTCAGCGCACTGAGACTGCTGAAAAGTATATGGCTCGCTTCTTTGGAACTTCTTGGGACCAGGGCGTAACTATCCCAGCCCCCCAGCCAAATTTTATCCCGGTCTGCGAATTCTCCCTGCCCTCCTTGCTGTTAAATAGGTCCATCTAGCTTAGGTAGCCACGCATGCAAGACTCTGGATAACCCCAATATGTGCAGACGCCCCAAGCCTAACCTTTGCAAGCTGCTTGGCCTCCTCCTCCCGCTGCTTGGCTTCCTTCTCCCGCCGCTTCGCCTCCTTAGCCCTCTCCTTCTCTCGCCGCTCCGCCTCCTTAGCCCGACGCTTGGCCTCCTCCTCACGGGCTTTCTGGGCCGCCTCGCGCTCGGCTATGCGCTGAGCCTTCAATTGCTCCTGAACACGGACATTAACAGCAGCGCCATGGGGTCAGGGCACGTGATGATCAAACGAGTGCCGAGCAAGTATCCACGTGAAATGCTGCTGTGCAATCAAATTAGGGTTGGGTTCCACACCAAGACGTCCCCCACGGGGGAGTTGACGGCCACGACAAGAGTACATACCCTATCCATAAAATTTGTTTCTGCTACATGTCCGGAGTCGCAAAGTCTTTGCCCGGCCTTTACGTTGAAGCTCAACTGCTAGTGGGAAAGGAATCCGACACACCTGCAATTCCCTGTTGAACGCATCGCCCTCCCGGATGTCCTCTTTCATACCCAGGGCTGCCTTAAGTTTTGACATCTGCTCGAGCTTACGCTGTGCTATCGCATGCGTCTCGTCGACCAGTTTGGCACTGCAAGGGAGCAAGGGAGATCACTTGTAACCAAGCGGTTCATGAAAGGATAACGCCAAGAACACCAAACACGGACTACCTTGCCGCTGACACATCCGCCGAAATCTTGGCCAGCTCTTGTTCTCGAAACAAGCCAAGCAACTCCTCAATTTCCGCTTCACTGTGAACGCTGCGTCAGCAGGAAACGCCAAACTTTACTTCACCATTCGCATGATAACTCACGGGAGACTCTGCCATTAATGCAAGCTTGGGCTCTAGATTGTAACCACGAGAAGCCCCTTAACGCGTTCCTGCTTACCCCTCTTGCTCAAGCCGTTCCCGCTCCTGTTCCACCTTAAGCTCCACTTCACGCTTTTTCTTATGGTCCAAGATCTCCCGGTTCGGCTGCTTGTGCTTAGGGCCGCCATCTTTAGGGGGTTCTGTGCGAACCTGAGGAGGTCCTCTCATGTTAAACTTGTTGCCTTGAACATACCCGCTTGTGCCCGAGCCGCGTGGCGTAAGCAAACCAATGCCATTGTACATTGTCCCCTTTGCCCTGCGGGCTGAAGATAAAGTAATGGGCTTTGACGGAGCTCAATTTGAAGAGTTGAGAAATTAAGGATTATTCTGAACGGGAGAACTAAGCCTCACGATTAGCGGATAACCAGCTCTCTTCTGTCTAACTGATATAACTCCCTGCCGTAACAGGTTGACGACGCCATAACAAGTATTTCATTGTTTTTCATCCGACGCATAATTGATGCATAACGGATACTATAACCTCATGCTGTGTATATAATATCTCAGTGACTCTTCGTAACTTAGGTCGCTGCTGCTGCAGCAAGGAGTGCACTACCCTCTTAACTAGGTGCTGAGGCGATGGTGGGGCTTTCCGGTATACCAGATTTACTCGTGTGAAGAAACATGAGGAGCTTACTTGCTTACTTTCAGGTCGGCATCTTTGCAAGGATAGGAGTTGACCCGGACACAACCGACACATCCCCCACACAAGAAAATAAAAAAACGTAATAAAGATAGGCATTGGCATCAGGGCCTCTGGGGATTTTCGCGCTTCAATGTTGCAAAACCCCAACGAGGAAGCCTCCGTGATCGCAACTAACGGTATTCCCTATATTAAACTACCAACCCTTCATTCAATCAGCTTAGTCATTCCGAGCTCGATCCCGCGCTGATAAGCACATAACCCCCCTCTTAGCCCTTACTGCCTCCCGTGTCCGTTCCCCCGATGTGGGTCCACTGTTTTCCCCTACCTGTTTCGTAAATTTCCCACCCGGCCTCTTCCCCCGTGATGTACAGTACCAAGCCCTTCTTCTCTGGCTGGTCCTAGCAGCCGGATGGGCCTGGTCCGGAATTAACAGGCGGAGGGAGCGTCTGCGGCGGCTGGGGCGTGCCACCGCCGCCAAACCATGCGACAAACCCCCTTTGAACAGCAGCCTCACCGGCACCGGCACCAGGGGACGCAGCACCACCACTCGCTGTAGCATTGCCGCCTCTACCAGAAATGCTACAGGCAATAGCCACAACTGTGGCTACAGCAACAGCAAATCCAGTAGCAGCGATACCCACGGCGATGATGACGGCAATGCTGGTGGTGCTGGTGCTGGTGCGGGTGCTGGTGCTGATGCTCCGACTACACGTACGCACCTGCCCCCGGTTAGCGTGGTAATGCCTGTCAAAGGCTGTCGGCCGCACTCCCTGGACAACTGGGAGAGCCATCTGGGCCTTATGTATGGTGAGAACTTAGTTAGGGGTTGAGCTAGGTGCTACGCGGGCACGAGGGGGAAGAAATGCGAAAAGCAGACGACCTGATGCCTGGATGGCGACCGGACCGCCACACGCAGACGGTCCCCTAGAGTTTGTCTTCGTGGTGGAGTCCGAGGAGGACCCCGCGGTGGGGCCACTGAGGCTCCTGTGCACCAGATATTTCAGCGGAGGGACTCCACTGGAGCCGCCCTCACGGAGCCGCCCTGGACAAGTGAAACCATCCGCCCACCCGCCACCCACATCTGGACACATACTGGAGGCAGCCCCTGAGCGAGCTCCTAACGTATCCCGGTCCGCTCAGGGCCGTGATGTGCGGCTGGTGGTGGCTGGACTGGCCAGCAGCTGCAGTCAGAAGGTGCACAAGTGAGCGCGTGCGTGTGGGTGTTTGGGGAGGGGGGGGAGGGGTCACTGGCGGCGGACGCAGCTGGAGGGAGGAGGAGGAGGTTGTCGGGGGAAAAGCTCTTGAGAGGTTTGGCAGCGTCTGGAATCTGTGTGGCTAGGGGCCAAGGAGCAAAGGGCGGGAGGGGGGGAGGGAGGGGGGGAGGGAGGGGAGGAAGGAGGGGAGGAGGGGGCCCCCTCCACAAGGCTATGTGGGCTGTATGGAGTCTTAAGGGAATAGGCTGTGTCGGCGGGCTGTATGAGGAGGGTGGGGGCTGTGGAACAGGCTGCCGGCGCAGCTGCCGTATGCGAGAGCGGTGCGGAAGGGGAGGAGGTGCGGAAGCACACACAAGCGGAGCGAGGGGTGAAAGGTGGGTGGCCGCTCTCGCTCGCTCAGTCAGCTCCCTCCCAAGTCTGTTCCCCACTCACTCATTTGCCACATGAACGCACACGCAAATACACGCGTGCCCGGCCTTTCCTTTTCCCCCTCCACGAGGTCGCCCTTTTTAAAACCGCCTACTGGTCAGTTCTGCTTCTTGTACACTCTTTCCTTGGCAGCAGCTTCACTCGTTCACGTGGTTCGTCTTTCCCCCCCTTCCCCACCGTGGGACCCTTCCCCCGCCGTTCCTCTCCCGCCCAACACCACCACCAGTCTGTGTGCTGGCATCGAGTCATGCGACCCGCGGGTCGCCCGGGATGGCGGTTATATTATGTGTCTGGATGATGACGTGGCGCTCCACCCGGGTAGCCTGGCGGAGCTGGTTTCGGAGCTGGAGGGCCGGCCTCATGTGTTCATGGCGACTGGTGCGTGGGATTAAGAGCGAGCGAGAGAGACACACATGCAGATTGGGATGGACGTGTGGGTGCGCGGTGGTTGGGTAGTTGGCGGTTGGGTACGGTTGGGTGGATAGGAAAGGCTACCGGGACCTGCGTAATGACGGCGCACGAAGCATTTCTTTTCCGCCCCGAGCCCGCGCCTCCCTCCCTGCCTTTCTGCCTTCCTCGAGGATGACGAACACGTGTTATGTATGTATTCCTTCGCACGTGTTTTCCTCCTTTCCTCGCAAACCTCCTCTCCCTTTCCCGCAGATGACCTTTCCAGATCTGATCTGGTTCATTCCGCCCGCAGTCAACAACGCACTCTCCGTCCCTGGATCCAGGATTCCCTCCTCCTCTGCTCCCCGTTCCCCCGTCATCCTTTCGTTTTATCCTCCCCTCCCTTCCCTGGCCTTCCCCGCCGATACCCCCCGATACCCGCTGCAAAACAGGATACCCCTTTGACATCCCGCCCGCCGGGTCCTCCTTCACCACCTACCTCGCCCTGTGCTACCACCTGCCGCTGCTCATCGCCTTCAGTGTGGCGCCGGACACCTCCTTCGTGTGGGGCGGCTGCATGCTGCTGAGGGCGGAGAAGCTGCTGCCGGAAGACCCGGGGGAACTGCTGGCGGTGAGGAGGAGGGCGTCTGTGTGTGTATGTGTGTGTGTTGGGTGAGGAGAGGGCCTGTGGTTGTGTGTTTATGTGAAGATGTGTGTGTGTGTGTTCGGGAGTAGCCCGGGCTACCCATGGGGGACAAACAGTAGAGGTTTGAAAGAAGCATATACGGGGTGAAAGCAGGGTGGGGGTCGAGTGGGCGTGTGGGGGCGTCTGGGTCTTTGAGCTACGTCCGTCCGTCAGTGTGTGGAGTGAGGTGGGGGGTTAATGGGTATTTGTTTTCGGGGCGGGCATGAGGGAGATCGTGAGGGACGGAGGGCGAGTCGTGGTCCTCGAGGGGGTGATAGCAGTGCGGAGTGAGAACTCGGCATTTCCAGGGGAAGGAAAGTGCTGTTAAAGGCTGACGTGAGCAAAAAAGGAGTTAGAGACAGCACAAAGATGCCACTTCTTGCCGCCGGAGATGCTCCGCTTGGTGCACTTGAGGTTGGTTTTAACGTAGCGAGAAATTCGTTGAGGCCAGACAGCCAGCGGGGAAAGGAGCCCATACATGACGTGGCGAACTAGCGAGTACATTCCATCCATTAACCCTTTCCCTCCCCCCCGTGCCGACACAACCTCGTCCCAAGCTAACAGGCTTGGCGCCACGGCGGCTACTCCGACGACCTCATCTTGGCGTCGTACTGTACGGAACGGCGGCTGGGCATTCGTGTACCTCCTTTCGCTGTCTTTCCGCAGAAGTGAGTGCGTTGCGTACATGGGGGCTGAGGACCATAAGAAGATGATGGTGATGATGATGAGATAGTTGCGGAATATGTGTCTCTCATGAACTACTAAACCTCGAGGAGGAGCGTGTGTGTACCGAGGAGGTGCGCATTGGAATGGAATGTGAATTGCATGAAAGGGTGATAGAGGCCGCGGCCGGGGTGCATGTCGCGTGTCGTGTTTTGACGCACATCCCCCCCAAGGTCACCCCACTATACCCCGGACTCAACCCCGACGCGGGCCTCACCCACTTAAAAGTGGGTTTCCTGTAACCCTAAAAGTTACACTTAGGGTTACATGTAACCCTAAAAGTTACACTTAGGGTTACATGTAACCCTAAAAGTTACACTTAGGGTTTCCTGTAACCCTAAAAGTTACACTTAGGGTTTCCTGTAACCCTAAAAGTTACACTTAGGGTTACATGTAACCCTAAAAGTTACACTTAGGGTTACATGTAACCCTAAAACCCCATTTCCCTTCCTTCCTTCCTCCCGTCCTCCTTCCTGCGCCGCGTTTGCCTTCCCGGTCAGCGTATGTATCATCACTTCGCCCTCTCACTCCCCGTCGGTCTCCGATCCCCCTTTCCGTGCACCTACGTCCAGGTTGGATCCTCGGATGGGCTGGGCAGCATGGCTCAACTACCTCCATCGACAGTTGTTCGTCCTGGACACGTACACCAACGACCACAACCGAAGAACCAACCACACCATGATGGTGCTGCACTCGGTGCTGTCCTGGCTACTCGTGCTGCCGTCGCTGGCGGGTAGGTCATTGCTGGCTAATGTGCTGTGTATCGGTGGGTTGCGGTGGTGGGGTCGACTGGCTGTTTGGCTGCCTGCCGCTTGTTTTCCGGAGGTCCTTCTTTTCCTGCATGTTCATCACGCTAAAGATTTCCTTGATCCTGTCTCTCTACGTCCTGGTTTCTTATCTCTCCTGGTTTTTTATGCGATCTACACAGCTGGCTCCACAGCTGCTAGCATTCTCGGCACATCTGGGTCCCGGTAGCCCGTTGATTGCTGCTAACGAAAAAATAAATCCATTTTTGTAAGTCTTCGCTTTCACATGTTCAGGATGTACATCCTGGCTTGCCCTTCTCCCAAATATCCCACGACGAAGCTCTTCTCTTCTCCAGCAGCTCGTTCCCTCCGCAACCCACAAACAACCACAGACCTACGACCCGCCCTGCCCCCACGTACACACCCCCGGTGCCCGCGAATACCGCCATGCACATCGCAGCCCTCGTCACTCTGGTCGACCGAACCGTGGCCGTGACAGCCGCGGTTGTAGCTGCTGCGGCAACCGGCCTGGCGACGGTGGCAACAGCACCCGTCGAACCCACAATGGCAAAAGCCGCTGGCGCAGAGGTCGGCTACTGCAGTGTCGCCTTCAGCGGCAGTGGTTGCGGCAGCAGCAGCAGCAGCAGGGGGTTATTTAGTGAAGGCACTGCGGCATTGCTACAGCCGTTGCTGCAGCTTCCGGTTGGTGTGGTGGCTGTAGTACTGGGTTGGGCAGCTGCGCACTCGGCACTGGTGTTCATGACGGGTAGGTACGCGTGGGGTGAGGGAGGGCAGGGGAGAGTCATGCGGGAAATTGGGACGTGGAGATTAAGCGGGAAGTGTGTTTGTGTATGATGTTGTTACAGGGTGGTATAGCTTCACCAGCGGCCCCCTTTCCCGAGGCAGTTCCCTGCTCTCCCCTGCGAGAGGGGCACCCTAATCCATTCACCCCATCCGATTTCATTTCAATGTATTCGTTGGGTTCAGCAACTCACCGCCGGCATCCAACCAATCTAGCGGATCAACGGCGTCACAACAAGGCGGATTCGAACCCGGAATCTCCGGAGCAGAAGTCAGGCCTTAACTTCTGCCAGCCACCTGCCTAAAACACTCACTTGTCCAGGCAGGCTAGTTGAGTAGGAAGGCGGAAGACTCTACACAAACACCAATCTAAATATTCATGCATGCCAGCTGTGTGTAGGTCAGGTTGTATTCCTCCTTGAAGGTCCCTTCCCGGATTCGAGCCGGGGTTTTCACGGCCACAACGTGATGTACTAACCACTATACGATAGGGACGAGCAAATGACAAGAAAAGTGCATGTATGCATGTATAAAGATCTTTCCCTGGACGGCTCAAAAATCCCCGTGGCCATACCTTCTTATTTATGCCGTGATTTCTCTCGAAAGGCAGTTTTCAGCTTCCATGTTGCTCCTCCCTTTTGGAAAAAGAGATGAGCCGCTTCAGCTGCTGCCTCTCACCTCACGCCTCTCGCCTGGCAACTGTCACCCAAGCGAATCCATACCACGATTCCATACATGTCACACGACGCATGCAGATTGTCTTTCCTGATTGTCTTTTCAAGGCGGCATCGCCTTCATAGGCTCCAGGTGGCTTGGATCCATTCCTGTCACCACTTCTCAAACCACCTTCCCCCTCTATCCCTGTTGCAGCCGAGATCCTGGGCTTGTTTAGGCAACTGTCCCCTGCCGCGCCGGCCATCCCGCTGTCCTGGTTTCGGTGGGGGCGCCTGTGGGCTGCTATGCTGCTGTCCAATGCCGTACTGCCGTTGATCATGTTGTACACCTACATCAGCCCCTGGGTGAGTGGGTCTCTCCGTGTGTAGCATACATGTGTGCGTGTGTGTGTGAATGGCCGGAGGGAAATGGGGAAAACACACTAATCTCCGCAGTCCGAGCCCTGCGGGGGGTTTTTAGTGGAGGTGTTGGTTGGAGGACCAAAAGTTGCGGGTAGGGGGCATTTGCGCTGCTCCATCCCAGCTCTTCTACAAGTCCCCCGTGTGCCCCGAAACCCAAGAGGACTTCCTTGGTCGGTGCGCACTGTGTGCATACAAGTTAGTAAAGTGTTGCTGAATTGTACGGAGACGTCGTATGCCCGTTCCGCACCCATGGGAAGTTTTGGGACACCTATGAGGACCCACTCGCACCTGCACCTGCTCAATCCATTTTCTTTCCCCCGTCCTGCTGCCTGTGTGTGTATGTGTGCGCATGTGTGTGTGTGTATTCTTCTGGAACCCCCCTGGAAATTCGCTGCCCTTTAATCCATCTGTATTGTATAATGGAGCCGCAGGTGGATTGGGGGGGCGTGGTGTACCGCAAGCACCGTGGCAGAGTCCTTCCCGTGCGCCGCCGACGTCCTCCTTCGCCACCTCCTTCTCCTCCTCCTCCTCGTCGCCCTCATCACAGCCGAAAGGAAGATTGACGGACTGTAACAATTTTTGGATTTCGCTCGGCGTGGCTTTTAAGAGTCCATTTCTATTTAGTTAGGCCCTAATGCTAACGCCTTGGCGTTACGCGTCCGCTTGAGAATAAGGAGCTTCCGTTCTGGTCTTGTGAGGCCCCACCCTTGGGCTGGACCCCATGGACATGTGTGTGATTGTTACAGTGGGCTCCAGACTTACGAAGAGTAGAGCCAGCGGGCCAGCTGGCCGTGCACTGCACCAGAGACTATCAACACACTAGACTCCCACCCAAATGAGACAACGCAAGTCATCTAGACAGCCAAAAGCGCGACGAAAGGGAAGGCTCAGGACCCACAACCATTACTGAAAGTGGCCTGAGCCTCAAAAGTCCTCCAATTTAAAGAATCCAAAAAAAGAAGCAAAAAAAGGTGATAGCTAATCGTCCATCGGTGACGGCTCCCGTGAACATAACAAATTGCCTGACACAATTCGCAAGAAGGGGTGATGTGCCCCAACAGAATCCCAACCTTTCCGTGGAACTCCCAGAGCTGTGAAACCCTGAAGGCGGCTCCAAAAGCCAACAACAACTCGATAAATGGCCGTGTGTGTCGATTGTCCGGCACCTAATACCATTTTGACCTAACCCTCTGACATCAATGAATACTAAACGGTGCTAACTGTTATGGCGAATGGCTAGTGGGGGGGCATCGTAGATAGGTCTCAGCAAAGGGGGAGATCTTAACGGGGCTTAATAGGCCGCAGGGGTAAAACATGTCAGAAGCCCTATGGACAGCGACGGACTGTGCTTCGACAGTGCTGGGTGGATGACTGCTTTTGTGTGGTAATGCCATCGCAAGGGCACGGCAATGGAGGTGGACGCATTGTAGATTATGATAGGTCCCAAACAAAGGTGCAAGTTCGGCTTTTGGGGAACGAGAGTTTGCGTATAGTACGATTGCACTTTTAAATTCGGAGATTGGATTCGTTGCGTCGCTATTACAGGAATCTTGGCACCACGTCACGACGTGCGACGAAGAGTTCAATTCAGTCATGTTGTGTGTACGAGTTGTAGTTGTTACAGTGGAGCACGACCAGGTATGTGTATGCGCAGGGAAATAGACTCCTGGGTCAGTCCTCAGGCGTCTGCTAAGCTGCTCCGTTTACGCGGACGTTGCCCCAGCTACAGTGTCATGCTTGACTTGGTTAGAAGAGCAGTCTACTCTTGAAAAGGAGGTTAAGCAGCTGCCAACATTTCCCGACGTTTGTGTAAGAAATGTTAAAGGAAACAAGTCAGGCGATGTGCCCTTTGGCTCGACTTCTTTGCTTTCAGGCGTGGAAGTTTGGTTGCCCGCAGTAACATCAACGACAACTATGTACCGGTTTCCGAAAGAGTATAGTTCATTTCTGCTGTTGATGACCTTACCAGGATCGACTTGCCATGGTCGAAACACGGAACAAAATTGAAACTTATTAAAAGCTGTCGGCACGTCCCTTCATGGGCGGATATGGCTTGCCCTGGTGACGAAAGATTTGTCACAAAGTAATCATTAAGTCTGACGTGCGTCGACACATACTGACACGCCACCGTACTGTACGCACCGAGGCGGTGATATAAACCAGTCAGCTCGACAGTACGCGTACATGGGCGTACTGAACTCATACGCAGCCAAATATGTTTAAATGCATAAGCTAAATTGCTATTGCTGGACGTTTTCCCTTCACTCCAATTTTCTAAAGTTGACCGATGGCGTCAGATGGCACCACACCACGCTGCGTCTGGAAGGACCTAACCCCAGACCTCCTTCTAAACATTGCTAGCTTCTTAACTCCCAACGAGATTGCATGCACCGCGCGTCTGATCAACAAGTTGTCCGCGGAAGCTCTTCACAGTTTCCGCAGGACTCGGCTGTCGCAGCCCGCACCGCCACACGCCTTCGCCTCTCACTGGAACCGCCCCGACTCTGTCCACCCTTACCCACTTTCGCAGCGACAGGAGCTGCTCATCATGACGGCCGCCAGCGGCAACCTCGCCAACCTGCAGGTCGCGCTCAAAGCGGCCGGCTGCCGCCCTAGCCCAGGCGTCTTCGTCGCCGCTGCTTCCAGCGGCAATTTGAACATGTGCCAATGGCTCGCGGCGTCGGATCCCGAATTAATGTCCTTGAACAATTCGAGCAACGTCATCAGCTGTGCGGCAGAGGCCGCCCGCGGCGGCCACAAGGCCACGGTGCAATGGTTGCTGCAGCTCGACAACCAGGAAGCGCCCAACCAGCTAGTCGGCTTTCACGCCTGGACGGCCGCCGCCAGCTCCGGCCAGCGGGCCTTATGCGAAATGCTCCTGGCGTACGGTATTCCTGTCAGCTGTATGGCGGCCCCTAACGCCGCCCGGGCTGGTCACGTAGGCCTTACGCATTGGCTGCTGCAGCAGCATCTTGGAACGGCGCGAGAAAGTTCGTCAGCAGACCGGGCAGATGGTTTAAGTCCATTTCCGCTCCAAGCCACTGCAACCGACGTGCTCGCTGCTGCCGTGTACGGCTTCAACCTAGCAGCAGCCCAGCAGCTGCACCAGACTATCCTAGGTCAGGCCGCCACGGCCGCGGATGCCGCCCTGGGAGGCGGCGGCGCGCGCGGCGGCCGCCATCACCTTAGCACCAGGACTTGGCAGCAGCGTGCCGGCGGTCGGGAGATCGTGTTGCTGGCAGCCCTGACAAGTCCCACCCCGGACTGGCGGGACAAGGTGCAATGGCTGGTGCAGACACAGGACTGCAGCTTCAGCAGGGCTTGCGCCTCGCAATTAAATGCGCTTGCTTTTGCGAGGTGCTGCCACACAGACGACGGCATAAAAGAGCGCATGCAGCTGCTGCTACAGGTCCCCACGGCCACAAGCGCCATGGGTAACCTCGTCCGCGCTGCCGTGCTTGAGGCCAACTTGCCGCTGCTGCGGTGCCTGCGCGACGGCAGGCCGTGGCTGCCAGAGAGTATGATCTGGGTACTCGAATTGGCCGCAATAGCAGGCAGGATTGAAGTCGTGTCAGAGCTGATCGAGCTAGGCTGGCGGGTTCAGCCCGCGGCCTCCTTAGCAGCTGCATCACGGGGCCGTCTGCGCACCCTGCAGCTGCTGATGAATCGGAACAGCGATGGGGTGGGACAGCAGGGAAGTGAGGGGCCAACGGCGGCCGTGGTGGAGGAGGAGGCGACGGCGCCCTTTCGAGGGGAGAGGGGTCTGGAGCTGGCTGAGGCAGCCGCGGAGTCAGGTAGCGTGGAGACCCTGGAGTGGCTACGGTCGCGGGGATGTCCATGGGATGAGAGGACCTTTGCGGCGGCTGTGCGTGGCGGCAGTGGGGCGCTTGTGGAGTGGCTGCATGTTCGGGGCTGCCCCATTGGGGTGAGTCGACATGCAAAGACGCTTAGTTTGCGGAGAAGATGTGGCCTTAAAAGAGGGTTGGGTGGGTACGCAAGCAAACCTCCCAAGCAGCCTGTTACGTATTCATTACAAGCTTTCCATGCATGGTGTGTGAATGTATGTCTTTTGGATTACGCCCTGCTGCGGTAAATTCCTGTCCAGGATGTTTCGTTTTTGCTAAAACAACAAAAGTTGCATCTTCGCCGCTGCAAGCTGTTGAATTAGGTCTGCCGCATGTGCACTTATCTGGCGCCGTCTGCTGTAAACCCTGAGATTCCCTGCCTACCTGCCTGCCGTTCGCTTGCACGTGTACTTTTGTTCCATTCCTGACTGCTGTGCGGCAGGATCCCTGGGAAAGCCACATCGGAAGGGCTTGTGACAGAGGCGACTTGGCCACGGTGGGCTGCCTGAGACGGCTGAGCGGCCTAGGGGGCAACTCCGTTTGACCAGACGGCGCACGAGGGACAACAGCGACAACCCCGTGCAGGTGTCCGCTGCGATATATAGCTTTATCCCCCCCCTGGGATGGAACACTTGGCAAATGAAAATTTTGACGTCGCGCTCGTCCTGGGGCCAGTGCTGCAGGTGGATATATACACCTGTCGGCTTGTTGACTTGGCTGGGGCTTCCCCTGGCCCCCCCCCGGAGTACGAGACAATCGCTGCGCACAGCGCGTGAGGTCCCAGGGGAAGTGTTCGGGCGTTGGACATTGGAAATGGGAGATGGCTAGGGTTGCGGGCATGGCATGCATGCATGCATGCATTAATACGGGGGATGCATGGATGCCTGGTCGGGTGGTTGCAGGGATGGATGGCTGGAGGGATGAAGGGGTGGCCGGGCGAGAGGCAGTGGAAGGCAGTGGAAGGTTGCCGCAACGCAGGAAGGCGTGCTGGAAGGGTCTGGCTTCCATGGGGTTGGCGAAGTGCACGTGGATATGGGGAGGCTTTGAGGGCGTGGTGGTGTGGGATAAGGTAGCGTAGGTAGGTAGGGTGCGTGCATGTCGAGGGAGGGGAAGTGTGCCGGCGGACGTGCACACGCTAAACCTTGTGAACGCAAAGGCACTGGTGTCATGCAACGCTTCATCAGGCCAGTTATCGTGGTGCGTGTGTGTGTGTGTGTGTGTGTGTGTGTGTGTGTGTGTGTGTGTGTGTGTGTGTCTCGCGGAGTCCTAGATACTGGATGTGCGTGTGATGGACTCTTGTACTGCGTTACAAGCGAGGCCTTCCCGGCCGCCGGCCGTTGGTTCGCAGCCTTTAGCACTCCCGCACATAGGTACATGTATGTGGGTGAATCAAGGGCTGGTCAGCAGGCCCGTGCAAAGCGGGATTCCGTTGCTCTGGTTGGGTACGAAAGTACAAGAGGTAATGCAGGGGGAGATTTGCATGAAACATGGGCACACGGTGGGAGGAAGGCTGATGCTGCCTGACAGGGGGGGGTTAATACCTGCGAGAGCAGCTGCACGGAACTGAACAAGAGCCGAGCCAGGAATACCGCCGTGTCACGGTCTGGTAGGATGTGCATCAATGATTGTTAAAGGATTTACGAGGTGAAGCTGATCACCAAAGGCCATGACAGGTTGACTAGCTGGGAATTTTAGGCTGGTGAATGTGGAAGATGGCTTGAGAATCTGCAGCGCCGCTTTGCGGAATGGTGACTGCGATTTATCTGTGCCCTGTGAGGTAGCATTCCATACATGGCCTTAACTTGGACATGCAGGTCGCATATCAATGCGTCCAACTACATTCTTGCAACTTAGCTGCGTGCTGCACATAGATCGGTGATGGGCGTTCATGTGTGTGTGTGTGCATGATTTACACGACTGTACGCAGGGAGGAAAGCGTCGTTAGCATTGTCACAACGCAGCTTGAGCGCAGTGAAATTCCTGGGATAGTCTTTGGCTTGCTCATCATACCCGTATCACATGATACGGAGGGCTCCGGTATAGGAGAGCTGCGGGCCTGCGTGCTACGTGACAAATCTTAGCGACTTAGTGAACCGCTTGTTTCGTAGTTTTCATCATACACACGTAGACAAGAGTCGAGAGGAGATAGTGTTGCAGGGCTCGTTGCCGTTCGATTTGTCGTGCGCCTCTCTTACTGCCGAGTTTTGGGTGCTGCCATGTTCTAGACCATGCATAAGGGGACAAGTTCTCCAAAACCAACGGCACTTGCTAGCAATGTCACTGTTTTTTATCGCTGGAAGGAAAGCTGTCTGTCAGCTATGCGACTTTTCCCTGATGTAACAACAGGCCCCTGCTGCACATATGCGAACATTTTTGCGCGCATACAGATTTCAGAGCGGAAACTCCGGCGGATTAACCTGCGCAGCTATCGTAACTTTTGATTTAAAGTTAAAATAGCAGCAGGCATCCTCTCCGCAGTGTACTACGGCGTAATTCAGCCAAAATTGCTCGTGCCCACCTCACAATGTCCAACCGCACATTCAGGGAGCGACGCACTCAGGTCGACATGCCTCCACCTGGCATCTGTCGATTCACTGACGCGACACTGTTTACCTGCATATCTTCCCTCACGCTCGCGCCACGTCACGCTAGCACATAACACGCTTTCAAGCTCCTTTTACAATCTCCCGTGTCCGACCTCCCTCCCGCATTCTCTTCTCGCAAGGTCATGCCTCGTGCCCCCCACGTCCCGACGCCCCTTTCCGACCCCACAAACGCACCCCGTCCACAAGCACCACCACATGCACAAAACGATGTCCCAAGTATTTATCAGGTCAAACATGTCTTGAGAAAAGACCCTTCCTAAACACCCACTCGTCCTAATTCTCCTGCGCACCAACAAAGCCTCCTCACATCCCTTGTCACACAACCGACTGCTTAAGGACGCGAGCCGTCAGGGAATCTTGCTGCATACCACCTATTAGGGACATCGCACGCCACCTCTCCTTCAGGTTGCGTGGTTGCTCCTTTCTCCACTTTGCCCTTTTTGCCTCTCCATCCCGCCACCGCACTGCCACTTCCAGTCCCACGGTTCCTTTTCCCTGCTGCAGTAACCGCCCAGACAACCACCATGCCCGCCCGTGCCGGTGACCACAACCGCATTGCAGAATGCGTCCGGAAAAACCGTGACCAGCAATTGCTGCACTGAAGGCCGTCTCTTTGCCTAACTACCTTCTCCCTTAGCTTTCCCCCCCCACTGAACGCCATTCAGGACAAGAAATCTCCGTCCACGCCGCCATCCTTGTGGCGAGCCAGACCCCCTCCGCGTGCTGCATCGGCGATCGTCCATCCCAGCACACATTGGTGCGTCCTTCAAAAAGGACCTGCAAAGCCTCCCTGCCCTGTCCTTCTTGGACTTCTCGCTGCTGAGCCACTATCGGCACGATCTTCGTCGGTTGCACCATCGAGAAGCCCATCTGCATGCCGCCCGCGCGCTTTCAGCAGAGACTAGCAGATAGCCTCATTCCTCTCTCGTTCATCCGTCGCCGTGTGGGCAGGCTCCAGCGCTAATCCCACACCCAGCAGGTCGCTGCAGCCCAACCGCCAGAGCGGCCGAGATCCCGGTCCTGGGATTGCCCACATCGCCGGTGCCTACCGTGTAGTGAACACCGCGGGGCGAACATACCATCTACCATCGACTGTCGTTGCGCACTCGGAGGCCCCGAACCTCTATGCCTGCCCTGGTGTGAATCCGCCATTCGTAATGAAAACCGTTTCTGGTGGCCATAACTGCGGCGATTAGCAGGCTGCTGCCGCCGTGCAAGCCGCAACAGCCACCATCAGCATACGCAACCCACTTGCAGTCACGGACTACTGGTTGCCCCTTAGTCGTCACCAATGTAGTAAAAGGTCCCTGCATCCTTCTGCTCGCGGTCCTTGGTGGAGCCCCACTTGTTGATACGGGGGCGGTAGTTGGTGGGGTCGCGGCGGAAGGTGATGTCCAGGTTGCGCAAGAACTGGTTCATGCCTGGAGTGAGAGTGGGAAGATAGGAAGTGTATAGGGGTTGTCCTCAATTAAAGTTGAGAATCTGAAGTTTGAAAACTAGTTTAGAAACTAAAAGAGATTTAAGAATGTCGATTTCAGGACGGTAGAAGGCAGTGACTAAAGTTGACTAAGCCGTTGGCTGAAGTACGGCATTTTAAAATTTGAGAAAACTTGGGAAGGCGCTATAAAGGCTCTTGGCACTCGTTTCCGTAGGCGTTTCTACCCTTCCAACCCTATCACTGGCTGATCCATTCGCTCCTAGCGCAAGTATGCAAACTGCTGCGGAAAGGCGGTGATGGAGGTCGACGTGGATATCCGTATTGTGGCAAGAAATTCTCGCCGAAGGCGCACACTATGAGAAGCTGGGGGAACTTAAGCAGAAGAAGCAAGCGCCCTGATGGGCATTGTTAAAATGTCCTGCTGTTGGGCAACTTGGTCAAAATCGAGTGTGAGCGCTGCGGCAAGACGTTCAGCGGCACCAACCCGTCGTCGGCGGCACCAAGGAGCACTTCCAGGAGCACAACACCGAGAAAGGCACCCCCTGCGAGCCGCACCGTGCACCGCGGACGGCTCGCGGACTCTTTCTTCCATGCGTAATGCTTTGCTGTCCCCAAAATTCAAGAATATATATATTCACACGTTACGAAAGCTATGTGTGAATTTTCAGGCCAAACCATGTAGTATAAAATTCGATAAATATCTTAAACGTAAACTGCAAAACTTTTGACGAAGCTTATGTTTTAGTTAAAAGTAAGTACCTTCTGAACCTAGAGCTATTAAAATGAGGTAACGTATTTATTTGAAGGGTAGCCACCACCTTAGGCGAGAATGAAGCCCTTTCTAATTAAATCTGAATTGCATTCAGGTGAGAAGATTTCTTTTCTAACGGCTAAACCTAGGTGTGTGGGATATAAGCAGAGATCCGGGATAATGCGGCCCGTGGGTCTGTGCGCCTTTGCATGTATGTGTGTTGGTGGGATGGTGCGACGATGGTCGCATCCAAAGCTGGCAAGAAGACCTAAGTGAATCGTGCGCGGCTTGGTTATGGCTTTGTGGGCGTGTATGCAAGCGTGTGCTTGGAAGGCATAGTGAAAGCGGGGAGGAGGATACGTAGTATATGTGGTGTGCGAGTGTGTACGTAACTCACTCCCGACTCACCCGTCTGCAGGCTCTGCGGCGTACGAGCAAAGGCGTGTTTGGACGGCTCTCCCTCGTACACAATGACCCGGTCGGCCATGTAGGTCGCCATGATGAAGTCGTGCTCCACAATGAACGCCGTCTTCTTCGAGTGCATAATGAAGCGCTTAATGACCTGGGTTGAGGGTCAGGGTGATTTGCGAGCCAACTTAAGGATGGGTTGGTGTTTTGCATATATACATCATATATACATCATACATGATGTATATATATACATGTATGTATACATCATACATGATGTATATATATACATGTATGTATACATCATACATGATGTATATATACACATCATGTACATCAATCTGCTGTGTCAGGACCGAGGCATATATATTCGTGGCCGACGAAGCTGCCATTCACAAACATGTTGGCAGCAGTCGAGAATGATTCGCAAGGCAGAGCATTGAATCGGCAGTAATACAGAACCAACCATGCGCCATTGGCAAGCCCCTATTCACCAGGCCCCCTATTATTCGATTATCTGCCCTAAGTCCCAATCCCCATCCTGGCGACCCCGACCCACCTTGGCGGCCATGATGCGCTGCTCGCTATCCAGGTAAGCCGACGGCTCGTCGATAAGGTAGATGTCAGCCGGCTGCCCCAGTGCCAAAGTGATGGCCACACGCTGCAGCTCACCACCCGACAGGTTCTGAACCTCCTGGTCCATCAGCGCCTCAATGCTGAGCGGCTTCATCACATCCGCATTGAACTGCTCGAGTGGCACATTTGAGATGCGATGCCGTGGGAGGTATGGGTAATGTGGGGGAGGGAGTTTTATGGGTTTGGGAGGGATGAAAAGACGTTGCCAAAGTTGGCACAAGGCTTTCAACTTCACCTTTCACCTTCATCATCATATCATCATCATCATCATCAACACGTATATAACGCTTTCCCACTGTTCCCACCTCCTGTTCTCACCTCCATGCCGACTTTGTCCCTGAAAGCGAGCCGTCCCTCGCGACCCACCTGCGGATGGATGTACGACTCTCGGATGCGCTTGTGCAGCAGCTGCCGTACGGTCCCCTCGAACTTGGGGGAAATCTTCTGCGGCTTGTAGCTGACGTTGAACTGGGGCAGCTCCGAAAGCTCCCCGTCTTCACCCTCAGCCAGGTCAGAGGGCAGGGCGCCCTGAAGGAGGGGTAGGGGGGGAAAGACGAACCACACGCGATTTAAGCTGCTGCCAGGGGTAGGGGGGGGGGGAAAGGCGGGGTACACGTCACTGATCCCCAAGCTTATGCCGGGTTGCCTGCCAATCTCTGGAAACTCCATGAAAAGGAACCACACCCGCCGCAACCCATGTGCCGGTCACCCTACTCACCGCCAGCATGCGGATAAAGGTCGTCTTGCCGGTTCCGTTCTCGCCAAGCATGACCAGGATCTCGCTGTCCGTGAACTCGCCCGGCTCCACCTAGGTTCAGAGGGGTGACGATGCCAAACAGGGCCCGGTTGAGGCTGTGCGGGCGAGCGTAGAACTTGCCGAAAAGAAGCTTGCGGATTGTAAAGTATCCCTAGATTAGAACATAGGACCATAGTAACACATCCGCACAGCCCCACCAGTCCAAGCCCACCACCGGCAACACCAGATCCCGCCCCCTATTCCCCACCGCCACCACCAACCCCCTCTTGTGTTTGAGTTTTGTGTTTTTTTACAAGTACTCAATGCAACAACTGCCGCTTTAGGCTGTTGTGGTACTGTCTAAAGTTCCCTTCCTTCGTCCGCTCAGTTTCGCAGCTTACCTCAAGCGTGAAGTTGCCCTGTGTCTTCTTGAGCTTGGGGTACTTGTAGCGGCTAAACTTCTTGACGACCTCAGCGGCGTCCGTCTGCTCCGTGACCTTGAAGCTGAGCGACTCCTCGCGGAAGCGCAGGTTCTCAGTGGGCACGAAACCCGCCAGGAAGATGTTGATGCCCTCCCTGCGCCAAGAGGAAAAGGGGGAATTCATATGCAAGAAACTCAGAAATGAACTGCTCCCGGCGTCCATAAAGTCCGAAACTGCTGGAGTCCCAAGCGATGAAGTCACTGACCCAAAAAGGGAGAGGAAAGGGGGAGGTGCGGATCCAAAGCATGCAAGATGGACTTGCGGGTAGGGAAGCCGGCACAGCAAGCCATTCAGAAAAAACATTGCAGCAGGACACAAACAAAAAGCCAGGACGGCTCAAGTGTTACCACAACATCATTACATGTACTTAGGGGCATCAGATTGATTAAAAATGTACAGGTTTCTACAGGTGCAGAGACAAGACATGCCAAGACCAGCACGGCGCACCTACATGAGATCGTTTCTTACCTGACGCTGAACGGCAGCGTCACGACGCCGTACGCTCCCGGCTTGCCGTAAAGACAGCAGATGAAGTCTGACAGGTAGTCCAGCACGGACAAGTCGTGCTCTACAACAATGACGAACTTGTCCACGTCCAATAACGACCGGATCACCTGGTAGCAGCAACCAAAGGAAGAAAGGCAATCCATTCGGATTCAGCAGTCGGCTGCTTGATACTGGTTTCAAACAGATTTCACACTTTTAACAACGCTGGCGGTAGATGCTTGACACATGCAAATCGAACGAACGAAATTGGGGCTTGCTCCAATTGCGGTACCAATACTTCTAACCCGTCTGTTATGTTTGCTGCCGGTATAGCAGGCGAAAAGGTTATTTAAATAGCTTTTAATAGACAGTGACGGTGATGTCCTACCAGGAAATTAAGGAGAACGAACACAGTAGACATTCCAAAGCAAATCATCCAAGCAAATCCCTACGCGATGTACCCTTCACCCTCCTCCCCAGCCCCCGCCCTTACCTGCGCTGCCTTGAGTCGCTGCCGTACATCCAGGTACGATGACGGCTCGTCTAGCATATACACATCAGCCTGCTGACAGGCGACTACCGCGATGGCGAAGCGCTGCAGCTCCCCACCAGACAGGTTCTCCACATTGCGGTCCGTCACCTGGAGAGGAAGCAAGAGAGGGACGCACAGGGCGGTACAGCAAGAATTGTATGGATGGAGAGAAGACTGAGACCTCTATGAATTACGCTGGCACCTTTCGATTCAGTTTTCAGCTCGTGGTGGTTAAAAAGGTATGCATGTAGGAAAGCGGAAAACAGGCAAGATGTGCAACAAGTGCGTTCTGTGCCGCGGCAACACAATCCGCCGTTGGGCGAATCGGGAGCGGAGCCTCCTCCCTCGCCAGACGGGCAAACTGGCGAGGGACGCCCCTTTGCCGCGGCTGCTGCCGCAGTAATGTGGCGTCCCAGCGAAACTGTGCACGACGTGGGGAGCGCCGGGCCAGGTTAGAAAGGACGCCTAGGAGAGAAAGAAAAAAAGGAAGCGCATGAATGCCATGCGGACATGTCCCTTCGCTGAACAGCTCCTTACCAGCAAGGCAAGCAACATGCTGTGTGCATGCGCTTGACCGCTTTACAGGGCCTTCACAAACACGCTGCCTGCGTGCAATCACCTGAGGCACCAAAGGCAAGGTCGGACCCGCAGCGGCCCAGCCCGCTCCTCCTGAACCAAAGCCCATTCATGCCTGATTCCGTCAACCTGACTCCTCCGCCTCCAGTAGCACATAATGCCTGGGTCTCACTAGGCCCCGGCGTTCCCTTTCTAATCCCCTCCCTCGTCGTGCGGTTCACCTTGAACCAACCTCACCCCACGGTCTCACCTGCTCCAGGTCCAGATCCCTGAGCAGCATGGCCTTGACGTCCCGCTGGTCCTTCTGCTCCAGCACCGTCAGCACGTTGCCGCGCACGGCCTACATGGCAGTGTGCGAGTAGAAGCGGAGTCGAGAGAGGAAGAAAAACCGGTTATTGAGTGTACGGAACTATGGAGAGGGGAGGGGAGGGCGTGTCAGGGAAAGCAGTAAACGAAGACCACATCAGCGGGCACTGGCGGACGCTGCGGATGCATGGCTATGGCAGGTTGATTGGCCAGATGGCACGTGCAGCACGTCTGCAGAGGCACTCAGCAAGACAGGAATTGGGCGGCCCGCTGATCTTTCGGTCCAGTGACCTCCTGTCGCTGAATCTAGGCTGATGACGGGACAGGACGGAGCACCCCGTGAGATGTGCAGGTGGTCACGAATTATTGTATGGGATTATGGTTTGTGTGCCGCGGCAGCACAAACCCGCCGTGGAGCAGGTCAGGTCTTCCCTCGCCAGACGGGCAAACTGGCGAGGGATGCCCCTTTGCCGCGGCTGCTGCCGCAGTAATGTGGCGTCCCAGCGAAACTGTGCACGACGTGGGGAGCGCCGGGCCAGGTTAGAAAGGACGCCTAGGAGAAAGGTTGTGTAGGGGCTATAACAATCGCGCGTATGCATTGAGTGCCGGGCTGGTCTTGCAGGAAAAGGCCAGGCATTGACAATAGGGTGGGCGAGACGACGAAAGCATTGCAGAATCCTTCATCGTCTACGGATGAAGACCGCACCGCAGCTGCAGCTTCCTCCACTGCTGCACCACACACACACACATCGTTGTATGTCGCGCCATCCACAGCGCCCGCATTCCACAACCAGACACACCTTGGGAATGTGGTCAACGTATTGCGGCTTGATGATGGCCTTGAGGTTGTCCTCCAGGACACGGGTGAAGTAGTTTTGGAGCTCCGAGCCCCGGAAGTAGGTCAGAATCTCTTGCCAGTCCGGCGGGTTCTGAAAGTGGGGAATCGTGCAGGTGGGGCGGGGGACGGGGGTTACATGTCAAGCAGCCGCAGAAGAAAAAGGAGAAGAAGTACGTGGGTGAGACCCAAATCATGGACGACCCTGGCGGTCTACAATAGTGGAATACCAGATGGTACAGGGCAGTAACCTTAATGATGAACAGATGGGTACAGGCGGGAAATAGCCGCCCCTTGGAAGAAAGTCAGGCGCCGAGTCATGTCACAGCTCTTGGATGATGATGGATGATACCAGTTTTGTGTATATGACCCGACTTTTTGCCATTCCGCTCCCCCGTCTCCCCTCACCGCCTTCCCGCTGACCAGCTTCTCTTTCTCCGCTCACCGTGAACCTGCCCAGGTTGGGTTTGAGCTTCCCTGCCAGCACCTTCAGGGCTGTGGACTTGCCAATGCCGTTGGTGCCCACCAGGCCCAATACCTGCCCCGGACGGGGCATGGGCAGCCTGTAAGTGGAGGCGGAGAAAGGCACATAGAGTGCGTAAGTGCAAACGTGCGATGAGAATAAGCTCGTGGGACCGCGGGTTTGGGCTGAACCCACAAGGGGACTGTTAAGACCTAGGCTATACAGCTGACAACGAATTCTCTTGTCTTTGTATGAGCAACGTTCCCAATGTGCATTTCCCTCCAGGCTTTTCCAGTCAGGTTTTTCTCCCGCCCCCGTCTGCGACTGTATTCACTCGGCTCATTCGTACCTGTGGAGTTTGAACGAGTTGGGTCCATATCTGTGGGTCGTCTCTTTCTCCAAGTCCTTGGGCAGGTTAATAATCATGATGGCCTCAAACGGGCATTTCTGAAAACCGAAAGAATAGCGCGAGAGGGGCGAGAAGCAGGGAGGGATCAGATGTGAAGGCAGACAACGCTTGAAAAGAACGTTCGTGAGGCACACATCGGGGCTGGGTAGGATAAAAACAGACCCCGAAAAGGTCGGCGGGCTACATAGTGGCTCATGCCCAGTTGCCATTCAACGCGCCATAGTGGCTAGCACGGTGATTTGGGCATCCGGACCAAGGAAGCTTTGGATAGGGAAACGGACAGACGAGTCCCCAGAGCCACCTGCTCTATTGCGTGTGTTGCTCGTTTGAATGGCACCAGCGGCCGTGCCGGGCCTCACGGGTGTCAGCTGGAAGTCGTTACCATCCTAATCCGCTATACCCACTTTAGTTAACTGGCATACTGGCGGACCGGTTGGACAGCCGGGATGGCGTGAAAAGTTCGGCCCTCTACCGGTCCTAAGAGAGAGGCTTGTTCCACTTGCGGGTCGCCAGCCCTTTTTGCGGTGATCACAAAACCCTCAGGAGCCAACTGATCCCCCTTCCAAGCAGCGGCCCTGATGTGGACCCACGTGTGGACAGACAAGGAAAGCCCCTCCCCGCATGCATCCGAATCCATCCTGGGCGATCAACGCGTCAAGGCACCGGACAGCCGTTCAGCAGCGGCAGCTACGCACGAGCTGCTTTCTAGCCAATGGCTCTCGGCAGGCATGGCAGCGATCAACAAAGCATTAGCTGAGCGTGTGGTTGCCTGCTGCTGCTGCCACCGGGACTGGACACAAACTGACGAGGTTTCACAACCTGTCCATGGCTGCCCTCACAAATATGAACCACTGCAGTTATCTCCAGGCCAGCCCCAGGGCTTTAAATGCCAGTTGTCATAGTATTGGAAGCACCAGAAACATTGGCATGCGTATTGGCAACAGTCCGCGATCACAGCTTCGTGGCTACAAGCAGTCGCCTCCGCAACTGCACGGCACGGTTCCGCCAGACTGGCTGAGCAACGCCGCCAGCAGGCGGCCCGCCGCGAGGAAGACGGGGCGCCGAGGAGTCAACGGCGTGCCAGATGCAACCAGAGCGTGCAGCTCTCCTCGTCTCTGCTCCGATTATCATCGCAGCATGCTCGAACACCCTCCATTGCTGTTTGTAAGACTGCATCTGCTCTTAGAGGTGCAGCCCTTGCTTGGTTGCGCATTCTGCTCGACCATGATTATTACATCAGTATTAAACCCTTCCCGCCGTTGCCGCGCCTCAAGAAGCTGCTTAAGCGACCGGTGCACAGGCACGTGCATGGCTGTTGCCAACGCTCCTTCACCCCTCCCTCCCTTTTCTCCAGCCCTAGCAGGATGCCATTCTGCTGCCGTATTTACTGCTGCCCACGCTGTTAACGTGCCTCTTGCTATTGCTGGCCTGTTGATCACGCCTTAAAACAAAACCTTACTGGATTTCATGCGCCCCACAGGTGCGGAGATGCACATCAGATTTTTATTACGGCTCAATCAACGCAGCACGGTTCTGTCTAATGAGTTGCACCCTTATGCCGTGTCCTCCTCGGGAAAACGGAAGGGGCCCTGGGCCCCTTACCTGCGCAATTGCCCGACCCAATCCCCACAGTCACACGCTCACCTTCACGCAGATACCGCAACCAATACAAAGCTCCTCAGAAATCCAGGCAATCTTGGAGTTTGGCGCAACCTCAATACACAGCTTGCCTACATCGACACGATGCATGGAGAGGGCTTCAACCCTGATAAATTTTAGGTAGCTAGATAAAAGGTGCTTACCAACTTTGACCACAGGGCAACTCTTCTTGCACTCTTGTCGGCACTTCTTGGGCTTGCATCTGCGCCGGCGACAACGCGCGTAAACGGTGAGCCGCCTAAGTGTAGGCTTGCGCGACCCTGCTTAATGTAGGGTTGTACATGTCCAGATCTCTAAAATTTATGCTTTACACGCACTTGTCTTCACTGACGATAGCGATACGCGTCAGCGTCTCCTCGCCGCCCTTGCGGTCTTCGCCCTTTTTGGGCGGCATTCTTGCCGATTCTCTTTCCTCCTAAGTTTAACGGATTGCAAATGTACAATTGAAAAAGGTTATGTGTCCTTGCGCAGCGCTGTCCAGTAGGAAGCGCCCTGCGACCCCAGGCTGGGGCTAGTGTCAGAAAGACGTCCAGTCAGCTTGCAGACACTGCCTACCCAAACCCCGCAGTAAAGAGACCGCGGCGGTGCGGCATGATGCCGAAGAGTGCAGGCAATTGCCGTAGACGGCCGTACAGTGTTTTCATTTTAATAGGCTGCAACGTGGCCAGAAGGATTCAACTCGACATGTTTGCCATAGATCAAGTGTGAGATTAATGTGCATTACACATTTTGATGAGCCAATAACCGGGGCGTCTTTAAGAATTTGCACCGCAAATCCGTGTAATACCTATGTCATAGGTATTGGAATTTCTTTCGCATGGATCCCTTTTAGTAATCAGCCTTAGCCGTTTTTGATGTTAAAACAACAGGAGGTTGGAACTGCAACCTGTGCAGAAATGTGACTCCAGATGTTTGCAAATAGTTTGATACCGTTCCTCTAATCTTCTTACTGTATGCGGTATAGGTGTGGTTGGGCTGCGAACAATACCCTTTATGCCTTTTGCTACAAAGTTTGCTCCTTTCAAGCTCAGCCTGACCCCGACCGTTCCAACGTAGACACTCCATCGTGCCAGATGCTTTCTGTCTCCCTGCATAATCAGTGAGGATGCACAGTTATTGCCCCCGCACCTACCCGCGGTGGCACCATGGACGCAACGCGAGTTCGTGTCTTTGGGGCCATAGCGGTATGCTGAGGCTGCCATCCATGCGGCATCCGTCGCTGCAAAACCGGCTCAGCTCCGGCGCTTAACCCCTGCGAGAACGCCCCAGCGTCCCTCTTCCTTCCTTGTTATCTAACCTAGTCGGGTGTCCTAATACGATGAAGTGCAAATAGGGCTGGAGAGTGCATGTTGGTCGTCAGAAGGATTTCATGTAATGAAGGTTATAAGCCTTTTTGGACCAACGGAACACTGGAAATAGAAAATACAGGAAAGGAATAGGAGGAACATGCAGAACCTACTAAAAGCGCACAAGATGAACATAAGAAACGAGTTCATGGAAAGGGGGACGTGATGTCTGGTCTGGTCTGGTCTGGTATGTGCAGCAGCCGGAGGAAGGCAGGGAGAACAGGCGATGCACTTGCAAATTCAGCAGCTATTTGCCCCTAATACCGAGTTTCATCCCAACAAATGCTTGAGATTGTCACGGATTCGGTATATAAGAGGTGTAAGCGTAGGAACGCAGTGACGGCTACAAGACAGGTGTTATAGTAGACAAGACCTGCCGATAGCCAAGCAGGTTCATTACAAACTGCAGTGAAGACCCAGTATTTCCATAATGGTATACGTGATCATGGCAGACAAGATGTACGATCTGCCCTGCATTTCTTAAGGTCTCAGCATGCGATCCACACACGGCAGTCTCCACATGGTTGCATGTATTTGATATATGTTATTATGTATGCTGTATGTGTACTGTGTAGCAGCATCCTCCCTGTTGACTTTTTACGTTATTCTATGTTATCATAAAGAGACGAGAACATCCAGTGACCGGGACTATCACAGGGCTTCCTTTGTATGTATACATATGCATTTGCGAATACGTCGTGAGGAGCAATGTTTTCTCTTCCACGCAAGCGCCGTGTGGATGACGACGAGGAGGATAACGAGGGATGGCGAATCGTCTATGCAGAGGATATCGACGAGCGGAGAGCTGAGCTACTGCGCCGTCTGGATTTGAAGGTAGCATAGGTCGGTGGTTCTGTTGAAGGAGACAGACTGGGATGCCTATCCCAGGGGGTTGCCTGTCACATGGTCGTCCGGCGTACACGGACTCGGAAGGCCTGCAGGAGTTTGCCGGTCAACCCCTCTCCATATCTCATACCGACTGGCTGAGATGGCACTGGGACTGCACGCATGGCTTGCGATATAAATCCATGCATATATCCCAAGCCTCCCTCCGTGGCCACCTGCAGACTTCCGGTCCCGCCAAACTGGTCAACCCCTGGGCGAGCCATGGAAGTAAGTGACCACCTGCAAAGCTGCATCTGCCCCCTCGTAACCAGCCTGACTCTTGTTTTGCCGTCCGTTATGTTCCCTTGCCGTTGCCGTCCTCCGCCTGATGCACGCTGCACGTCAGCTGAGCTGCCACGCGGCGCTGCTCCGGAGGTCAGTTTCCTGTGGCATGCTGAACTGGAGGTGTAAGAAGGCTAGGAACGCGCGTGGGGCTGCGGCAACCTGGCTGGATTGATATGTGCTCGATTATTGCGGATTCGTGTCAGGTTTTGCTCTGGTTTGCCTTGTGGGATATAATTTGCCGCTTACCTAATGTGGAAGTGTGGGCCGGATGTGAGCCGGCTTGGTGGGCTTGCTCCTTGCATACACCTGCTTACTCCAGCCGACTAAGACGTGCTCCGGATAGCGCCTCGCCCCGTTGGGTCGCCGCCTGCTATGTTAGCCTGGTCCAATCGATCGCCTGGCAACCCAGCCCAGGTCCCAGCATGACTTGGCTATCTAGCCAATGCCACGACCAACTGCCTTGTATGGCTGTCATGCGGCGGCACCCAAGTCAGCGATTCCGTTGTGACCCACATCAGTTTAGATCATCTAGGGTTAAGGCCTAAGTCTGAGCTTGGCTGGGAGGCTAAGCAAGTGCATGCCTTTCCGAAACTGTCATTGTGACGACCCGTATGCCCGGTCCCCAACCCAAACCGTACCCCAAACCCACCAACTCGTTCGTCATGCAGCTTGATGAAGATGCTGAAGGTCCCAGTCCGACTGGCAGCGGTAGCGGCGGCGACGGCAGTGTCTACGGGACGGACATGCGGGATCCGGGGATCATGCAGGGGCCGGGCAGCTGCATGACCACCGCGCACGGGGCCACGGGGGCCCCGACCGGCGCCGCTGGTGAGATGTCCCACATGGCTCTTGGCGGCGGTTTGCGGACACTTAGGCGTGCCGCATCCGGAGGCCAGGAGCCGGAACGGGAACGGTATGCACAGGGCCGCCAGCAGCAGCACGGCGGGCGGCGGGGCTCTGCGCCTGCAGCCACGGCAGCAGCGGCAGCGGTGGCGCAAATGGACCAGCTGCTTCGGGTGGGGCTGGGCGTCAGGGGTGTCCGTTGTGACGGCTGAGGCCCTTCTCTTTTCCCTTCCCCTCATTTTGCTTGGCAGTGGCCACCTGGCATGCAGTGAGCATAAAGATCATGTGAACGCTGATGCGAGTCGGTTGTCCGTGTGCAGGATCTCAAGCGCTCCATCGATGGCGGTGCCGGGGCCCCAGGCAGCAGGGACGGCGACGGCGACCACAGCGCCACTCCCGGCTTCGGTATGCAACTGGCCTGCGACGCAACTATGGCAGCGGCGGCAGCCCCACCTGGCGATTCAGGACACCCGCGCGGTTCAGCATTGCTCCTCGTGCATGGCATTGACGGTGCGGAGGCAGAGGACGCAGTAGGTGCGCACCAGGGATATGCCTCCTCCTCTTCAGCGCAGCTATGTCGTGGCTGTGAGCGCAGCCTGCATCTCCGCTTGGCACTGCATTTCATGTTAACTTAGGGTTTCCGCCTGGACATAGTACCCCTATTTACGGGTAGCATGGTCTAAGGCGCGATGGATGCCTCAGGCCCTCTCTGAAAGTGGCAGTAAACTAACCTATGTATGTGTACCTAAAGGGCTCCATCGCTTTAGGTGTTGAGCATCGACACCGGCCAACGGATGGTGAAGGGCGCTCCGCCTCCTGCCCCGACGCTGCCCCATTCCTGCCGGCCACCAACGCCCACAGTGTCAGGGCTGCCAGCTGCAAGGCAACCTGTCTCCCCCGCCGCAGCAGCGACAGCAGCGAGCCCGTATGCAGCGCTGCTGGGCTCGCCTGGGGGCTTCGGAAGCGTGGGCCGGGGCCGCAATGGCGGTGGCAAGCCATGTTTTTCTGCTAGCGCCGGCCAGGGGCCGCTATCACCGCGTCCGGGGTTTCACTCAAGCAGCGCCCACCGCAGCACAGCCCGGACTGGACGCGGCGGACTGGGCGCCCTTCTGCCCCCGTCTGGCGGCTCTTCCGCTCTTAACTTCTCCTCTTCTCAAAAGGGCAAGAAGGCCAAGTTTGTCATTCGCGAGGCGCCCAACTTGGCGCAGGATGCCAGCGCCAGCAGCTTGAGTCAGGGGGACCTTGCGCCGGCGACGCAAGCCGGCACCGATATCGCCGGGAGCGGGAAGAAAGGGCGGGAAGTTGCGCTTTCACCCGCGCCCTTCCGATCTCACAGCGGCGGTTCGGGGAAACTGGCAGGTGGGCTTTGCAGCGTGGTGCTAACGAGCAGGCCTTGGCCCGGAGGGTGCCTTTGTCTGTGATAGCTACATTGCTTCGATTTAATTGCAGAAATGGGACAGAATTGGGGCGACAGATTAGAGGAGGTGGGGCCTCAGGGTCCCATAAGTGACATCATGCTGCATGGCAGGTAGGGATGCACTGTTCAGGTTTGGCCTCTGTCTTCGAAGTTTGCGCTTCGTGACCTGGCAGGGACTGCCCACTTCATGCGTCTGCGCACATGCCTTGCTAGGGAAGGAACGAAGTGCAGCTACCCCCCCTTCTGCGCATGGAACCAAACTGATTGCAGCCACGGCGCTCGATGCACTTTAACATCCGTCTGAATAGTAACGCCCTGCTGCACTGCTGCCCTTGGGCCCTTGTTGTCTACTTCGTCGCTCTCTCCCCGGGCCAAGCACTCGCAATTCTTCGTTTTGAAGAAAGCAATGCTTCCTCCTGATCCAACACGTCAATACTTTGCTGCTGCTCTGCTCCCTACCCCCGCACGCAGCTCTTCTGGGCTCTGGTCCACCGCCGCCGTCCTCAGCCGCTGCCGCCAAGCCCCCAACCATCAGCAGCACGCCGATGGGCCGTCGCCTGCATTCCATCGCTGCGGCTCCCTCGCCGCTGACCAACAACAAAACCCCGAGTTCCGCTACCAGCGGCGGCCTCATCGGTATCCATACCCGGCGCGTGTCCCTCAACACCGCCGATGCTGCCGCGACTACGCCTCCTACGCGACAGGGCCTTCCACGAGATACCCCAGCGACGACTGTGGGGTCGGTGGACCATGGGACTGGTCCTGTTGGAATGGCAGTCACTCCGGGTACCACCGCGCGCGGTGGCAGCAGCGGCGGTGGTGCCGCCTCTGTTGCACGTCTTCAATCCACACCGCGTGCAAGCAACCCCCCGGCGTCCCTACGGGAGCTGCTGCTGCCGCCACCGCCGCCGTCGCGACCATCCACTAACACGACGCGCGCTGTCGCTGTTGGTGTCGCCGTGCCGGGGCCCGTGCCACCAGCACAGCGTGAGGAAGCTCACCTTCAGCTACCGGATGCAGCCGGCGAAGTGCTTCATTCGCTCGGTAGGGAACAGGGCCAGCCCGCTGAGCACCTTCATGAGCAGCCGCTGCCGTTGCCACCGCCACCTTCGCATCAGCCGCAGGAGCAGGAGCAGCAGCAACATGGGGATGGAAACCGGTATGGCCAACCCCTGGGACAAAGGGACACGCGGGATCAGCCGCTGTCGCTTCATCATCATCATCATCATGAGCAGCAGCAGCAGCAGGCCACACCGCCTGCATCCCAGCACCAGCACCAGCGTTTGCAGCAAGAGCGGGCCAACCTTTTGGAGCTGATGGGCCAGCAATCGCACCGTCAGCGGGAGTTCGTGCAAAAGCTGGGACCGCCAGCACCACCGTCGGCACTGAGCGCCGGTCGGCGCGCCGGAAGCAGCGGCCGGGGTGGAGCAGCTACGGCGGTGGGGCTGCAGGGACGGTTGCAGGTAGGAGATCAAAGGCTAGCCAAAGGTCGGGGCACTGGGGTAGGGGGACCCGATAGGGGTACAGCAACGGGTTCTTGTTCCGTGGTACGTCGTCCCTCCCAAGTGCAACGCGCTCCAACGGCTATCCCTTAAACGTGTCATGTACCGGATCGACCCTGCCGCGTCCAATGATCCATCCATCCACCCAACCACCCATCCTCCGCTACCCGCCCACCGCCGACCTAACCATCGACACCTAACTTCGGCAGGCTGTCCTGGCAAACCTCAAGCTATCTTTAGACCGGGAGGCAGGGGCTGCAGCGTCCGGCCGGCCGCAGCTACCAACCCCTGGTACGTACAGCAGTGCAAGGTTCGGTGTGATGCAGGGCGGTGAAGGTGTAATTGTAATGTCCTTAAGGTCGCCTTGTGTGCGGCGCTGTCGCGCTACCTGAGTCTCTCCCATCTGCAGCGCAGAACACCCATCCATGCGTAATGTTATGAGCACTCCTAACATGCCGCGGTGCGAGAAGGTACACGGACTAAGGTTTGTTCAACGCCGTTCTCGCGGCTCCGTATTCAAAGCCAACACACCCCATCTCCGTCCCCTGGTTCCCTCCGTCCCCTCCTAGCCGGGAGCCTCCTTGTGGAGGTGCGCCGCCGAATGCGGGAGGCCCATCTGACAAAGGCAACCTGCACGGTACGACAAGTGTACGATGTGTGCGGTGCTAGTACCAGCGCAAGATCACAGGTCGCATTGCCTGCTCAGGAGGTTGCGGTGCTGCCACTGCCGCGATCACACCCCCATGTGGGCGAGGAGGTGCATGTATTCCTAGACTCGAAGCGTGGCGACTGGGGTATTGAGCCGGGGGACAGCTTCCTTGTCCTGCCGCCGTACAAGGTACTTTATGTCCGACAAAAAGGTACAGGGTTGCAACAGGAAGATCCGGACGTTTGTGGCGATGGTAGGGAAGGACCAATACATGGCCGCGGCATGGGGTTGGCACGGGATGCCGGGGAGCGTGTCAGTGCCAGTATGGGGACGGCGACCTTGGGCGCCAGTGGCGAAGGACTGGGAGAAGAGCCGAATCTGGAGATCGGGAATTCGGGCGGGCAACTGGTCGTGTTGGCGCACCTGGCGCGCCGGTACGATGGTACCGTGTCATGACTCACGGATATGACGGTTGATATGTGGGGCATACGGGGTAACACGAATAACCACGAAAACACAGCTACGTGTTTCAGCTTCGCTTCGTTTGGCGAAGGGCCCAACGAATAGAGTGCAAGCGAGCAGGTATACATGTTTGCAAGAAACGTAGGAGGGAGAGCGAACGAGCTGAAAACGTTCCCAAATATGGAACTGTACATATTGTGCGGGTGCCTAGGTCTGCAACTTCCGGGTTTCTATGGCGCCAGTTACGGAATTGTGCCATCTCGGACTGTCAATTGCTTTCAATAGCAGTGCAGCGTCGCCACGACCAGGGTTGATAGTCATGCTGTGCAAGACACGTTATTTACAGCGCCGATATGGGCGGCAGTTCACGAGCTAGGTGCACTGGGGCATCGGACCCCATCACGGCACGTGCGCGGCCATTCTTCTCAGCAATAGGGTACAAACAATTAAACAAGAACACGTATCGGGTAAAGAGATGGCAACTGCATGGACCCCTCGCATACATCTCCCCCAATCCGCACCTCCCAATCAGCTTCTTCACAATCTCAACTCTCTGATCGATGAAAACCCAAGTCCACACGCATCGACAAGACATATCCGCGACGTCCTACCTAACCTTACCTTTCCAATCCCACACATTAGTCCGGAGCTGCGGCGCATGAATTAATTCGACATCATACTGTAAAGTACCCATCGACACTTGCATAGCATCAAAGGCAACGGAACCGCGGTCCAACCAGCTATCCAACCTACTCGCTGGTCAGTTGGGACAAGGGGCCGCAAGTACCCTCGGACCATGCTCAGCTCGCTACCACCAAAGGACAGCTTGCCCACAGGCTGCCCACCACCACAGCGCAAAGCATTCATGCGTGTGCTGTAAGTATTCGCAGCGCAAGGGACAAAGCACGGCGCATATTTATTGTGAAAGCCGCGCGCACATATGCGTCTACACGCCGAAGTGGTCTAAAAGTTCGCTCGAGCCGAAAGGTGCGGGCAACAACAACTGCCACCAGCCAAGCGCACTAAGTCAAACCTTGCGGTCTCCCCACTGCCAAGTTTGCTGGCAGCTTGCCACGACCCGGCCTTCCCCCCAGAACACTAAATCTTCAATGCCAATATCAACCAAACACAAAAAAGAGGCAAATTCGCCGAAAAGCGCTGCGTGCGTGCATGGGAATGCACGTGCCAATCCTAACCGAAGCCAACGCTGCGATGCTGTCAAGCGAGCTGAACGCGCCGTGCCAAGGAACCAGCCGGACCCCATGCCTCGCCCGCCGGCAGCAGCTGAATCGACACAATTTCTGCGCACTGGAAGAGCAAGCCACCGGCATGACGTTGCCGCCTCTTTTGCACCCACAACCACCGAGTCATCCACAGCCACGACGTTCCATCCCATGCCCAAGGTGCCCACACATCAGCAGCTACTACCTAGAGCCCTTCCGCCTAGAGCCCACGCCCACTAACCGCCATATACATGGGAACCTGGATGCGAACTTCCCGACCTGGTCAGACCGGGAACCGCAGCGCAGTTTGGCGCTGCTGGCCTACCCTCACTGACTGGCCCACACCAGAATACGTGCTACGCCAGCGCCTCGACGGCAGGTGGAGCCTCAGCTGGTGCCGCCTCACCAGGGGGGGCGCCGCCGCGGCCACGGCCACCACGTCCCCTTCCGCGTCCCCGCCCTCTCCCACGGCCCCGACCCCGACCACCCCCTTGCGCGGGCGCACCGCCCTCGGCCGCCTCGCCTTCACCGCCCGCCGCCGCTGCGGCGGCGCCACCACGGCCACGGCCGCCGCCACCACGCCGCCGTCCCCTGCAGGAAGAAATCATTAATGACAGCAGAGCGCAAGGGTGAAGGTGTATTCGGCTACAAATAGATCCAGCTCAATAAATGAACTTAAGCGCCAGGTGTGCCTTCCCCCAAGGACCATAGCGCAGCTGGAACAAGCGTGGACAACACGTTCGTTTCGAAAGCATCGAAGAGGAAGGAATTCACGACAACCTAAGCTTGGGCATTGATTTTTCCAACTCTGTCCCTGCAGCGACCGACGCTCTCGACCCAATCCTTTACAACCACGAGGGACCCGCGCACAGAGCTTCCCAGAGGATGGGAACGAGCCGCCAAGTTTCCTTATTTGGGCCCTCTAATGACCTTACCTTTACCAGTGAATCATCTGACATAATGTTTGGCGCATGCACGCGACGGATGACAGACAGCATCACTGACCGCAAGCATTTAAATTTCTATTGGCCCGGCTAAGGTAGACGTGACAACATGCGCACCTGCCACGGCCACGGCCGCCATTGCCTGCGCCAGGAGCGCCCTCAGCGGCCGGGAGGCCCTCAGGGGCCCCCGCCGCACCGCCCTCTGCTGCTGCCGCAGCCGCTGCACCGGCCGGCGCTCCACGACCGCGGCCCCTGGTACCACAGGGCAATCCGGAACAAGGCAGCACTGTTATGAAACCCTAAGAAACAAGCCACAATAACAAATTTCAGCATTTATACATATTAGATTCTGGTCCGTGCCAGAGCAACACTCGCTCCGCTGGCCCAACATGTGTACACGCACCTGCCCCGGCCCCGACCGCGTCCGCGACCACCCTCGCCCCCGCGGCCACGGGCCCGCCCTGCCGCCCGGTCCTCCAGCAGCTGCTTCTCCACCTCGTCAAGCTCCAATTCCTCTGCGCCAGCGGCACCAGCAGCGCCGTCACCAGCGGCTGCAGCGGCACGCGGCGGCTGCTCGGGCTTGACCTGGTCCGGCGGTAGTGGTGGCTGGTACCCGGGCCTCGTGGTATCCAGCTCGTCGAGGGAGAGGGTGACAGTGAGCACGGAGACGTTGCGAGAGACCTAGAGGAAACAGCCGACGGTGGAGGAACATAATTGCATCAGGGTAGTTTGGGATTTGGGAGGCGCTGCAAAGAGGTCATTCGCGGACAAATGAAAATAGGTAGCATAGGCTTTATCCGGATCGGGTGCTGGGAGCTCACCTGGATGGGGTTCAGGCCCGCTTCATTAGGTTCGTACTCGTCAACGAGCGTCATGCTGGAGGTCTCGGAAAGCTGATGCAGACCGGCCACACGGCGCTTGACCACCTCGGCTGTCGGTCAGTGACATCGGGAGCGGGCATTCAGCTAATGTAACGCTAGAGCGACATGGGCGCGAGGCGCCGGGCACTGGACGGAAAGCCATCGGCGCGTTTAGTCATACTGCCGACGAAGGGTCAGCATATCGCTCGGGCCTATCCAGTGATACAGAATTTCTTGCAAGTGGTGCAGAATTCCAAGTAACCATGGGACAAATATTTGTCAATCAGGGCTGAAGGGAAGTTTCGGCGACGAATTGACGGGGCCCGTACATGAGGTGAGACCACACTAACAGCCTTGCAATACGCCCGTCAGCACACTGCACCCTCTTTCTACATGCATTCTTAAGTAGACGTCCATTCTCAAACCCTGTACACGGCAGACCGCAAGGCTACTCACCAATAGCCACCGTCTTGTTGATGGCCTTGCCCATAGCCTTCAGCACAACAGTACGATGTCCTTTCTCGCGCAGTAGGTTCAGGGCAAGTGAAACATAGAAGCGCGTCTGCTCCGTCGACCGTATGCGCACCTGCCCAAGGAAACGTGATGCGGACGGATGGCGCGGACCCAAAATGTGATCCGACCTGATTAAATTCACAATACATAGCGCTATGCAACATTGCCACTAGTCGAATCCGTAAAATGGCATTGAAATGCCTGAAGCTGAATGCCTAAAGTACCGCCCTCACCTATTAGCCCGAAACTTCCGACGCACCTCATTTTCCGCGGTAGGCCCGTCATCACGAGGCTTGTGAACCCGCGTATAGTTCTCCATGCTTGTAGCGCCGCGCCAGGCACGCCTTACTTCCGCAAGAACTCTCACGATGATCTCCGCTTCCGGCGTGGTGTGAGAGACTACTCAGCTGCTATACTGGGCAGGAGGATAATAGCTTGCCAGCAGCTTAGCGGTTGCACCGAAAAATTAGCTGTGCCGCCCGTGGCAAAACTAGATCTCAATGTCTGAAGAGGAAAAGAACCGGTAGGAGTAGCAATCTTTATAAGGTAGCTTCCTGCAATGTGCCTCTTGTACAGCTCAATCGTGAAGCTTTGGGGCACTGTGTCGTCCGAGCAACCGTGAAACAGGAAACAAGTACGACGGGGGTCAGTCAACCTCCGAGTAACCCGGGAACAACTTGCACTTGTGTTGTTTCAGTCTGTCCTTCAAGTGTAGTCCCAATAGAAATGGACATCCCAGCAAGGGATGCTGAACGCCTGCTCCAAGCTGCGGAGATATACTGCCGATGGCCTACAGGAAAGCCCTTGCGTCTGCAGGGCCTAGGCAATGAGCTGTGCACAGCGACCCTTTTAGGCGGCGTTGAGTTTGACATGGGCGGCATCTTCGTCGCCTGCGAGTGCGGAAGCTGCGCGACAAAACCAGCGTTGGTCGAAAACAATGCCATGGAAGAGAAAAGTAAGTGAATATATTTCCTTATTTACGTTGTTAGTCGTGCAAATTTGCCAGGCACATGGCCACAGGTGCGACATCCCAATCCTTGGGCCCAAGGGTCGAAACTCGACAGTTTGGATCGGAGGGGTTGAATATTATCTTTCCCTCCTCCCAAAACCTCATATCGCGTCAAAGTTTCATAAATAAATCTTAGCTGCTCGTTTTCGCTTCCACGAAGGCGAGGGTTTGTACGGAGGATTTCATACATTCTTACACGTACGCATAACAGTACTACTTGCGCTGTACGGAAGAAAAACAATGCTGACTAGCACAGCTGCCCACTGCCTGGGGGAGTCCCAGGGACTACTTTGTTTTCTCCCGAAAATCCTGTTACAAGGGCGGAGGCCTCCGAATTGCTCCTCTGCTGCCGGGGGGAAAGGACCCACCGAAGCCCGGGGGAGCTGGCGACGCGGCCCGTTATCTGCCTTATCTGCCGTATAATAACTACGTCACCCGTGTGGCGGGGTAACATGGGGTTGAGCTGAGCTGAGCTTTGTGACGCCATCGCCAGCGAGCGCAGTAGCGCTTATGCGGGTCGGCGACGGACGAGTCCCTAGAGAGAATTTCCCCCCCCCTCGGCCGTAACGGAGACCACCGCTGCAAGCCAGCCAGCCACATGCATCTGCCACGTGCCTCCTCTTTCGGCACAAGGGTGCCACACCACATAGCGGGGCCACGCCGACACGCCGCATGCTGCGGAACCCGTCTCGAGCCCCCGAACGCTACCCGGGCACATCCCTGTATGCGTGCGCACTATTCGCTGCTTGGTTATGTTGTGACGAATTGTGATTGCACAAATTGTAATTGCGATGATTGCATCTTATCATCTCAATTTGGGAGGCCAGGCACGTCGCGCTGAGGCGCTTCGCCCTGAAGCGGACGAGGGAGAATGAAGATGACCTCCCGCGTACCCGCATCAATACCAATACAACGTCCATGGCCCCCCCGGCTTTTACGGACACACCCGCACTTGTGTGCGGAACTTGTAACTTGTAACTTTACAAATAAACAAAAACATAAACAAACAAATAGGCAGACAGAGAAAGGCGATTGAATCACTCCTATTCACCCTGTACCTTTTCCTGCCAGTTCAGTTCGGTCGTTTGTCCACTCGCCTGTTCTTTTCCCTTCCTCCCCGCCCGCATCCCAATCCCCCAAAACACACATACACACACATACGTGGTCGGCTGCTTCCAGGTCGCATCATGTCAGTGTTGGAATTCGCCATCCACTGCGGCGTCGTCGACCTCGTCGAACAACGACTGTACGGCAGCGAAAATGAATTGTACGACGACGAGGCCGCCGTACAAGCTGCTGCCAGTCGCATGCTGACGGACCTGCTGTTCGTACTGGAGGTCCCACGTGATTGTACGGCCGGTACGGCTGCTGTGGCGACGACGAGGACGGGGGCGAGCATAGGAACCCAGGAGGAGCAGCAGCAACAAAAACCGGTGTGTAGGCGGGAGGGTGTGTGCGTGCGCGTGTGCGTGTGTAGTCCAGTCCAGTCTAGCCTGGGGACGAGAAGCGGCCTGAGGCGTGACGGCGGCCCTCAGAGTTTTGCGGCCAGGGCTGCCTTTGAGCCCGACACGGCCTGCGTGAGCCAGCGCCTCTTCCCCCCCGCCCCAGACACCCCCTTCCCGGACACCTCCGGTCCTTCTCCCGTCCCAGCCGCCTTGCCCCACACCGGCTGCACTACCGCTTAGTCCTCCTCGGCTGTTAGTGATTGTTACTGGGCGCGTAGCTGATGAGGGATATGGGGCCCACCGTGTAGCAGCGCCGGACATGGCCGTGTAGTCCCTCACTACTCTCCAATTTCCCTTTGTCCTGTACCTGTGCCAAAGTTCGCTCCGACGCCCCACGTCCCAACTACCCAACTGCGAGGTGCGCTCTCCCGGGTCCGTCTGGGATTACCCTTCGCCACGGCCATCGGCATCCTGATTCTGATTCTTGTTCTGATCGGTCGGCAACCTGAATTGGCGGTGTGGTGCTTTTGAATCGGGAACAAACGGGGGGGTTGAAGGTGTCCGAGGGCGCTGGAGGCGGCAGCGTCG